GAGGACGTCGAGGATGAGGACGAGGACGAGGACGAGGACGACGAGTCCTTTGACTGTCGAATTTCTTTCCAGTTCCTCGTTAAATCGTGCTATGGGCCTCTCGAAGCTACACTTATGCCTTTCGAGGACCTTCTCACACACATTTCCATGCGTTTTTCTTTCACTCTTTCTCTCATACCTTTTAGTTTTCTTTTTATTTTTTTCTCATTTATAAATATATATATATATATATATATATATATATATATATATATATATATACTTTCTTTTTTACATAAAATTTCGTTAATCATGAGAACGTCGTAGTTTATTTTGTTTTTTAATGCCAAATTTTTCTTTATAAAAGATAGATATCTGAATAATTTTTATTTTTAATTAATTCTAAACTTCAAAATAAATCATTAGTAGGAAAACATATATATATATATATATATATATATATATACTAGTAATTTTGAATATAATTCATTCAATTTTGTTACATAATAATATCTTTTATTTATAATTATTTAAATAATATATTATTAATTTTATCCATTACATTTATATAATTTTAATAATAATATTGCTATATATTATATATTATTCATGTCTTTTTTTTTTTTTTTTTTTTTTTTTTTTTTTTTTTATATAAATATTACTATATTATCAGATGTATATAAATAATAAATTAACATACAGAATAATTAATCAATAATATTAAATTTACTTTTAATATTAACGAAATATTAAAAATCGGTATTACGAGTAAATAGAAGATACTTTTTCGTATTAAAAAATTCGATTCGAAGGAATTACTTTGAAAGGATTGTCCTTTTGAATCTCTTGAATGTCCATACCTTTTTGTTTCTTTTTTTTTTTTTCTTTTTTCGATGAAAAAGGCCAACAAGATGGGTCCTCCTTTTCTCGAAGGGTTTGCGAAAGCTTATACTGATGCAACGCAACACGTGTGGCGATCGAACACGCCGCCGGCCAAAACGAGCGACAAGCCCGCCGTAAATAAACATCAAGGACGATAAGCACGGGTGCTAATTAGAGGTAAGCGTGATAATGTAGCAAATCGGGTCATCGATCTCTCGTGTCGGGACCACGAACGGCCCGTATCGGGATGTTTGTTTAAACTTACACATACGAAACTGTTATGTCGATACCGCTTGCGAAACGTAAACGTTTCCATCCAATCCCTTTGATTAGCGAATAAATCATTTCATTATATATCATACATACATATATACATATGTATATACTTGCATATCTTGTCATATATTTTTTTTTCTATTTATTTTTCTCTTTTTTTTTTTTTCTTCTTTTTTATAGATAGCGAATTCTTTAATATCTTCTTTCTTGCAAAATAAATACATTTTAATCTTTCTATCTTCTCTCTTTTTCTCTCTCCTTTCATTTTTCATTCAACATTTTCTATCCTTTTTATCACTATCAAAGTTTTTCTAAATCCACATTTCTTCCATCAATTAATATATTGAGAATATTATCAAATTGTCTTGCTATATTATTTTTTTTCCTCTTTCTTCCGTATTATTATTATTTTCTTTTTTTAAACGATGGATAAAAATTTTCTTATTGGTATTATATTGATATAATATCTATTATGGTATTATATTGATATAATATCTTACAATGCTAGTGTAATAAATATAATATATTAATGTTAATTAAGTAGAATATATCATACATACATATACATATATATATATAAAATACTGTTTTAGAAAACAACGTCGAATCATTCTCATTTCTTTTTACGAGATCGTTTACGCTATTTCAACATCATTCTTGGTTCAAGTTTTTCTACGAGGAAATATATAAAACATGCGTATATATATATATATATGTACTACGATGAATAGTTAGAAAAGAAATTCCACGAAGTCTGTTTTCCGTAACACGCTTCGACGATTTTCGTAACGACCTCTTCAATTGTTCTTCGACATACATAAAGAGAAAAGCAAAAGAGAAAGGGAGAGAGAAAGAGAAAGAGAGAGAAAGACAGAGAGTAAAGAGAGCGACAAAGAGTAAAGGGAGAGAAAGAGAGAGAGAGAGAGAGAGAGAAAGAAAGAGAGAGAGAGGAAGAGAGATAGAGAGAGAGAGAGATAGAGAGAGAGAGAAAGAGGGAGAGAGAGAAGAAAAAGATGAAACTTCTTCATCGCTGTTACATAAATTATAGTGGAAAATGTCGATAGATAAGATGATTTAAAATAACATTTTTCTAAGAATCATTATACTTAATAATTATTCGAAATCGATAAATCGATCAGTAACGAGAATTTTATTTATATCTATACACATTTTTCACGATTACTCTAACAATTACAAATAGAAAATAATTATACTATGTTGTATTATTATGCATTTAATATTAATATATCGATTATATTATTACGATATATTAATTTAGTTCACATTCATTATAATATAATATATTAATGATATATTATAATTTTTATATATATATATATATATATTCTTTTTTTTCTATTTCCATTAGAAAATCAACAAAGAATAATAATAGATACGAATTAAAAATAATTATGAAATTCTAGCAATAAGTAAGCGAGTCCTTTGAATATTCAATATTTCTCTCTC